CGCTGCCTCCAAGGATCCTGTCTTTAGAGACAGAGACCATGTGAGCAACTTACTTTACATACAGAAAGACCAGGCCTTTGTGCTGCCGCTGCTTATGTTCCTTGCTCACAAGGTCTCATAAGGTCTGTGTAAATGTTCCCAGATGTACCCATAACCTTGCCTGAGGATGGGCTCATGGGTCAGTGGTGCCTGTCGCCTTGGGCTGGTGGTGTGTGCAAGTATTTCATGAATAGCAGCCACTACCACTTATAGCCTTACACACCTGCCTGTTTGTTCAGAGGCAGATTGTCAGCCAAAAAAGAATGACACTGCAAGCAAAAAAATAAAGGATTAGCTGTGTAAATGGAAGTCTGCAACAAGACATGATCCCATAAAAACAAGCTAGCCACATGCCTAAAAGCACATGTATAGCATTTCAGCTTTTCAGTTCCCAGACATCACGCACATGCCATAAACTCAGACACAACTACACACACCTACGTAGGCTCATGTCAACTTACCATGCAGCGGTATAGTTACATTCAGCTATAAGCATTCACATAGAGATACATTATAGCACACACCTGCCCAAAACTGCACACATACACTGGTACATATAACACACAAATCTTATAAAGGCCCTCATGTACAAGTACACACTCAGACACGTATACATTCACACATATGTACATATACATATACATTCACACACAAATAACCACACACACCTTTCATATGATCTTCCTGCTCTACCAGGAACACACACTTTCCCACCTGGAGATCTGGGTAGCATTTGTAATGAAGATGCTCCAAGAGGTTTCCTTCCTGCTGTTTGGCTGATGAAATTTGTGGGACAAGCAGTGGGAGGGGTGCTCAAGTCTGAGTCAGATGACCAGGCGCTCTGATTGGGAGCAGAGTTAAGGTGTGGGCGGTCCTGAAATCCTTGGCTCAGCCTTGTAGCTACTGCCATTCCAGCGGCCACTAGGGAACCTCACAGATAGAAGGACTTCAGTATTTGTTGAGAAAAATCAAGGAATTTGTGATCGACCCCTTAACACTTTGTCTAACGTTTAAAATTAAAAACAATTTATTAGAGTAGTTTCCTGTCTCTTTCCCCTTGCCTAACTTCAAGTAGACATGCCCAAGGTGATGTGTAGATCTCTTAGACTGAAACCTCCCTGGAGAGCAGAAAACACACATAACTTCTGAAGTCTTTTGAGAATTTAATCAGAGATGTCAAAACCCTCAGAGATCATCTAGTCCAAGGTAATCATTTTATAGTTGAGTGAATTGAGGCCCAGCGATGTTAGGTGGTTTCTCCAAAGTCACACAGCAAGTGGGGAGCAAAACAGGAACAAGAGACTCAACAGCCTGATTCCTGGATTAGTGCTATCTACACTTTCCACTCTGATTGGACTTGAGTGATTTTACTCCAGGGAATGGCTCTTTGATTAGAATGTAAGAAAACAAAGACTTACTTGTAATATAGACTATATTACAATAGTCTATGAGGAATTACACTGGTTTGGGTAGAGCAATGCTATATTCTAATAAATCTTGCCTATGCTATGACACTGGTAGTATTCCAATACATGTTTAACCATGTGACTTTAGATGTGATGAAAGGCATCTCTGTCATACTATTTTTATAAATTTGGACTCTGATTTTTCTTAGCATATGGGACCCTTGACTGTTCCATGGCTGTTTGCCTCTGCCTGGTAGATGTTAGAGCAATCTCAGGCTTACAGTGGTTTTTAGCCTTGCCCGGCTTCATAGATATACTATAGCTAGTGCTGGCAACCATCATTTCATTAGAGCAACAAAACCACTAATGGTCTCATTAACTTTGAAGAAATTAGATTTGCTTTAGAACACTGACCTTTATTTAGCAGTGATTGATGGTAGAATGGGAAAGACTAGAGATCTCTTCAAGAAAATTAGAGATACCAAGGGAACATTTCATGCAAAGATGGGCTCGATGAAGGACAGAAATGGCATGGACCTAACAGAAGCAGAAGATATTAAGAAGAGGTGGCAAGAATACACAGAAGAACTGTACAAAAAAGATCTTCATGACCCAGATAATCATGATGGTGTGATCACTCACCTAGAG